CTGGGGCCACCTGAGTAATTACAGGTCACAAAATTGCAAGCCTGGCAGGCTGGAGGGGCCCGTCACATCTCCTCTTCCTCCCACCACGCTCGGAACCAGCGTGAGCGCTGACAGGGCTCACTGCCATCATCCCCTGTGTCACAGTGCCCAGGCAAGCAAGGTGTTCACCCCGCTCCTCGCCAGGCCCAGGATTGCCAGGGCACGGGTGGGTTTGGAGCCAGGATTTGGCCTTTTGGTTGCTTGAAAGGGAGCACTGAGGCCAAGCTTCCTCCCCTGAGCTGGTGAGACGCACGGGGCTGGAGGCACGGAACTGAGACAAGAGGGTGCCCGGGGGAAAGCTGCTGCTCAGGCAGGGAGACAAGGAGGCTGCTGGGACCATGAGGGGAGGAGAAGGCAGTCCCACAGCAGCAGCCCATTGATGCTTCTTGTCCTCACTGGTTTTACTGGGACAAGAACTGAGGATCCCAAACATGCAACTCCTGCCCTGTGCTGGGACTGACGGCACACCCCAGCCACCCAGAGGCCTGCAGTGCAAGAGAAGCCACCCAGGAGCTCCAGGAGGAGCAGACCCAAGTGTGGAGTGGGAATAACACCCAGGTGCTGAGCTGATGCGCTACAGCAATACAGCCTCGTCCTGCTGTGAGACTCCCGAAATAGTCCCCCGTGTATGTTTTTCCTGGCATCTGCTCTCTCATAAAGCAACTCAAGATGCTCTGAGTCCTGGGGAGCGGCTGGAGACATGTGCCGGAGGGGTATTTCCATCCATTCCCTACCCAGCAGGTGGGATGATGATTGTGCCAGCGAGGAGACAGGGAGACTGCTGCTGAGGCATCTCCATCCCTGCTGCGGCACAGTGGGAATGGAACCCTCAGTATGGAAAGCAGCAGCTCCCTATGCACTGGAGGGGCTGGGCACACTGCTGGGGCTGTGCTGTGCCACGGATGCCACTGGCACTGGTCACACAGGGGTGTCAGGGTGACTCCCAGAGCCCATCAGCTTTCCAGGCTGCCTGATGCAGGGGGTCTAACCAGCTCAGCTTCACCTTCCCTGCACCAGATAAACCCAAAACATCAGCCACCTCTCCTCAGGTGCTGGGCAAAGCACCATCCCCAGTCTGACAGTCCTACCAACACCCATATTTTATGTTTGCATGTGTGGAAGCAGGTGACAGCTCCAGGGGCCGGTGGCAGGACAACCCTTTGTACCGCACCAGCATGGCACATGCCAGGGCTGCCTCCCTCCGCTCAACCCCAGCCAGCACATCTCTCATTAGTGAGGCTGGTAAAGGGGTTTCATTCCCATCAGATGCGAAAGGCAGGGGAAGACTGGGGATGTGGTCTGGGCAGACTGGGAGGAGCTGCTGCAGCCAAGTGCACACCAAGGTGGGGAGGGCACTGGGGCTGTGCTATGGGGAGGGTTTTTTAATGATTTATTATTTCACAAAAGACGGAGCCCTGAGCAGTGACTGCTCGGCCAGCGCCGTGACCTGCAAAGCTTTGCATTTGAGAACTATTTTTTAAGTGTTCATTTTCCTAGGGCTCAGGGAGAGCAAACCCGCGGCAGGTCCCACTGCCACGCAGCAGCCGAGCCGCACCGAGCCTCTGCGCGGAGACAAAACGAGGGTTTTGTCTCGGGTGCAGATTGCAAACACTGCTTAATCAGCACTCCGCGAGACAATCCAAATTCCAGGAACTGGAAGGGGTTTGTGTCACTGCCAGGCGTAATATCCTGCAGCCCAGACTGGCCCAGCTGCCAAAGCACACGGTATCTGCAGCGAGGACCTTGCTGCGAGCCAAGAAGCATTCGGCTGGATACAGCAGCAGCACCGGCAAGTTCTCATTTTAATGAGCATCGGGGGACAAGGAAGAGATAAATCACTGGGTTCACAATGCTTTCTTGGCAGAGACACCCACTCTCTTTAAGACTGACACACATAGCAGCTTGCCCCAGCGTAAGCCGCAGCGGGACTCACAGGATTTCTCTCTCACGTTTGTTTGTCCTGTCTGTTGGCTTTGGGCATCACCCATCACTCATGTATCACGGGGGCAGGTGGTGACATGGGCACATACGGGACTGAGCAGGGCTTTGCCCTTTGCTGGGGGACAGGGTCTGCTGCGATCCCTGAGCACCCCCAGGCATGGGGTAGGTCGATGCAGCTTTCCATAGCGGGAGCCTCCTCGTTACCGGGGGTAAGCCAAAACCAATCTAAAGTAAGGCTCATTATCCAGCTTTGCTGAAAGGTGTTCATTTCCCCCAGTCCTGCCCCAAACACCAGCAGCTCCGGCTACCCTGGAGCCCATCCTGGCAGGGAAGGAAAATGGGGCTTTTGACAGCTTTTTACATTTCTAGAGCCCTGTAGAGGTCCAACACATCCAGAGCTTGGTTCCTCCCCTTGCATCACAAAAGGAGATCTTCCTTCTGCCTTAGACGTCGGAAGATTTGATCTCCCTATGTTGTGACATGGGAAAACCCAGCCTGAACTTCTGCACATTTATTTGTGATCTCCCTGGAGTGAAATAGCCTGTTGAGATCAGACCTGATGTCTGAGGGCACGAAAGGAGGATGCAGAGAGGTTGGGCTTGGCCTCTCCTCCCAAGTGGCAGGTGATGGGACAAGAGGAAACAGCCTCAAGTTGAATTGCGGGAGGTTTAGGCTGAATAATTGGAAAAAATTCCTCACTGAAAGGGCTGTCAGGCATTGGAACGGGCATTGACAGATGTGTGGATGAGGCGCTTGGGGACATGGTTTAGCGCTGGTATTAGCAGTGTTAGGTTGGACTTGATGATCTTAAAGGCCTTTTCTAACCTAAAAAACTCTCTGATTCTATGACTTCAGAGTCATCCTTCTTGTTAATTAGGACCAGCTCCATGTTAATGTTGAAATCAGGCCCCTTCTGAGGAAGGGGTGCAGAAAAGTCAAATCTCACACTGACAAAGTGACCTCCCAGGCGCTGGGAACAGGGGGATGAATTCCCAGTAGAACTGTGCCCTTCTTGTCCAGAACTATTTAGAGCAGTTTGATGCGTATCAACCCCCTTTTCCCTGATACCTCAGACATTGGAGAAACAGGGCAAGTTTCTCGAAGGAGATGACATAATTTTAATGAGAATAAGTTAAAATTGTGAATGTTGGTCACTTGAACTTTTCCTGTCGTTCACTGCTATAACCTGGGATGGAGTGGGAAGCCAAGGTGCCATGCACATCCACCTTCCTCTCCCTCGCTGTGCCCACCAGGTCATCC